AAGATGTGGTTGAACAATATAAGCTCTTCAATCAGTTATGCTTTTAGATTATTCTTCTATTGTATATATATATATATATATTTATTTATCAACAAAAAAGATATTTTATTATGTAAAAGGGTATTCTTATTGAGAAACAGTCAAGAGTAGATAAATTGTTTTTAAGCTCTCAACAATAAACAAACTTAAAACATTCCTATCAAACCCTTTGCTAGAAAAAACACACATCTAGAAGAGAAATCATGCTTTCTCTTTCTCAATTTTCATTCAATTTCTTCCATCCTTTTATAGGGGAAGGCTACACAAAACAACTACCTAAAACAGTGACTAAAATGATGAAGTTTCCTGCCATTTCTTGTAGCCCATGTGCAGTTCCATGCTATTATGCGGTCATATTGCAACATCAAAATTTTACTTTAGCACATTGATTGTGCCATTTTCAATTCTTTGGTTTGTTGTTTGTTGCTTAATACCATCTTCTCAAATATTTTGGCTCATCTTGGAAATCAACTTCATCTTTGTTAAATTTTTGTTGTTTGAACAAATTTTAGAACCTTAAACATTTTTAGCCACTCCACTATTGCAGCAACTATGTCCATGGATCTTTGCTGCTGTAGTACGTTCTGGAGTTCTAATTTTGTGCTTGGCCTTGGCTACTCCTGCACCAAACTTCTTTCCCATAAAATGATGGAATTCACAAATACATAAACATGAAGAGTTTTTTATTAAAAAAAAAATCAAATCACTCAAATATACAAATATAAAAGATGGTAGAAGAACACAGAATGAAATTGAGATGTTGTACTCAGTTTTCCTTTGCCATCATCTCCATGTTGTTGTAGTCCATGTGCAATTATGTTGTTGTCACTTTGATGCTATTGTCCATAGCTCCAACATTCTTGATTATTGTTAATCATTTTATTATTTAATTTTTCATATTCTTATTGTCATTTATAAATAATTTTATTAGGTGACATTTGGTAGGACAAGGAAACAAAAAAGAGGGTAGGAAACATTACTAGGCAATTGGAGGAAAAAAGGTGTCTTTTTAGTTGACATATTGGGAAACCCTTATGATAAGATGTCATGCATATTGTGAGGAATGTGTTAGTTTATGTGGCATTATAATGAATGTTAAGGGGAAGACAAAGGATACAATTAATATCTGTTTTGATCTAGAGCTTATGGGTATTCGTCCTAAACTTTATACAAAGTCAGAAGGCAATAATAAGTATAGTTTTTTCTCTGCATACTATACATTATCACCAAGTAAAAGAAAGGATTCATGTAAATTTGTACGTGCCATAAAGGTTCCAAATGATTATTCCTTCAATATTACTTGTTATGTCAGTGACAATGAATTCAATTTAGCTAGAATGAAATGTCATGATTGTCATGTTTTCCTATAACGCTTCCTGTCATTAGCAATACGCGGTGTGTTGAAAAAGGAATCATGTGAGCCACTAATAGAGCTAAGTGGCTTTTTTAAGAAATTGTGTAATAGAAAGATACTTGTAAAAGACATGGAGTCACTCGAGCAGTCAATAGTTATGACTCTCTGTAAGTTGGAGAAAGTCTTTCCCCCATCCTTTTTCAATGTAATCATTCATTTACAAGAACATTTGCTTGGGGAAGCAAAAGTTGCAGGCCCTGTTACTTATAGGTGCATATACTTTATTGAATTGGTATATGAATTATTGGTTTTTTTTTAATACTCCCAAAATGTATAAATGGGAATAAGAGAAATGATATATAAAATTACATTCTGTAGATTAAAATTAAACTTTGGTATTTCTACTGATTTTAGTCACTTTTATGCCACAATTTTCCAAAGCCTTTTAGCTTTCTTTGTGTGATTTTGTTATTATTAAATTTTATGCAATTCCATAAGATGGGTTGTGTTGATGGTTAATTTTTTGATATCTAGCATATGAATTATTAGTTAGATGCTAATGCAATTCCATGAACTAATATATGAATTATTGGCTATGTTTTGGAATACTCACAACATGCGTAATTGGGAATAGAAGAAATGATATCTAAAATTGTATTATGTAGACTATAATTAGACCTTGGAATTTTTAGTGATTTTAGTCAATCCTACGCCATAAATTTCTAAAGCTTTTTGGCTTTCTTTGTGTGGTTTTTTATTATTAAATTTTGTGCATGATATAGAACAGTTACATGAATTTAGTTTAAATTCTCTTGATAGATAGTGTTTAGAAGAGTGATTATATGTTACTAATTTGTCAACAATACTATTTTTTTTTTCTTAATGACTATTGGTGAGTGTTCTTTTTTGAATCTAATATGAAAAATATTGTTTATATACTTATTTTTGTTTTCTTTTACTTTAGATTTTACGTTTGAAAGATGAAAGGACTACAACATATAATGAGAAATTTGAATTCTTAGTTTGGGGACCTAATAGAAGGGAAATCAAATATGCAAGTTACCTTATTAATGGTTGCAAATTTTGAATTAAAGAGCATGATATGAAGTTGAAAACACAAAATAGTGGAGTATATGTAAAAAGAGATGGAGGCATTGATTATTATGGGGTACTAAGTGAAATTATTGAACTAGATTATGGAGGACATGGTGTAGTTCTTTTTAAGTGTGATTGGTGGGATGTATTCAGTAAAGGAAGGAAAAAAGGATGCAAAGAAGACCAATATGGGTTTACACTAGTAAATATTACACATAAACTTCAAACTAATAAACCTTTTATATTGGCTACTCAAGCTGAACAGGTGTACTATGTGTCATATACAAAAGATTCAAATTGGCATGTTATAATCAAGACAAAACCTTGTGATTTTTATGATTTTCCTTTTGATGAAAATGCAGTTGAGTCATATTATGAAAATAAAGAGATTGGGCATACACAACACAATGTCTTGGTGTGTGATAATGATGTTATTTTAATCGATTAGAAATAGAAAATGTTGATGTTGAACAAGGGCCAATAACTTTTAACCTGCTAATAGAAAATGAAGATGTAGAAGATGAAACTGACTATAAGGGTGATTTTATTTTTAGTGAAAAAGAAGGGGTAGCGTCTATTAAAAGATACAGATGATGATGATTTATAATCATTTGCTTTGATTTTTAGTTTAATGTTTTGAGACAATATTTTGAAATCTATTATTAAAGTTATGTAAGATTATTTTATTAAGATATTATCATTTAATTTAATTTAGTGGTTTTATTTTTTTTCTTTTTTTCGTAACATGAAGTTCATTTATAATGTTTGTAGCATTAATGCTAATAAAATAAAGTATATGAATAATATAATGATGATATGAAATTCTATACAAAATTTTTAAAAATTTATATATAGTTTTCATAATTATATGCACACATAATAAGGTATGTTTCATTTTTTATGATCTTGTAGTTTGTGCCAAAAGAAAGCTTCAATGAAAGAAATGAAAATTATAAGAATTTAATTGCTAAATCTAAAAAGGTTGAGAGATGAAATAGAAAAGTTTAAATGTGACATTAAGGGCCTATTTGAATGAATTTAAAATTTGAGGTTTAAAATGTAAATATTATTGGGGACTAAAATTGATATTTTAAAATTAAAGAAATTAATCAAATTGTATTAAATCTTCTAGGTAAATAATAAATTATGTTTTTTTTTAGAAATGTCAATTTTATGATACTAAGTTTTATCTGTAAGAAATTATAAATTTTTTATATCTCTCAAATTATGGATTATTAGTTTTTTTTTAAAAAAAAAACCATTTATTTTGGTGATACTTAAGTGTTTTCGTTACCAACATTATAAATGATGGAATTTGTTTATTTGTGGTAAATTTTTTGTTAGTCACAAATATTCACCTAATTTATAGTGACTAATTTTGTTGTAACTAACTTATTTATTTTTTTAAGTTCAATTGTGGATTAATTATGACAAAAAATTTTGTTACATCTTGTGATTTTTTTCAGTAACAACTTGCATATAGTCACAAAATATATTTATTATAAATCATAATTTTAGTCAAAGAAAAAAAGAATATCTGTGATATAAATTTATCATTTGTAACTAATAGTTAATTTATTTGTGAAAATTTTGATCATCACAAATTTAAGTAGTTTATCATAACAAAATTTTAATGGTGAAATATAATTTTTGTATCCAAATTATATATTACAATATTAAAAATCAATATTAATGATTATTATCTTAAATTAGTTACAAATATAAAAAATATTAGTGATCAACTAATAATCAGTCATTATTTTCAATCACAGAAAACTCATTTTTTTTTAGTAATTATGAATTTTATTAAAGTTATTAAAATTGTTAAAATTTTATTTTAATTTAATTATTAAATTAATAATAAAT